TTACCCCCACCGATGCAGCCCCAAACAGTTTCTTTAGAAACTATCAGCCTTTATTCATTAGTATAAGACTAGTCTATGACCAGAAGCAGACTAGTCTTAACAGACAAACCAGACACATCTAACAGTATATGCATCTGCTTAATTAGTATCTATGAGCTAGCTGATTGTTTTTATCTTTGTGGAATGGTCATTCCTTATTTCAATGGGCATTGTATTGGCAGCAAAAACTGGTGGTTAACAACACTGAATATCTGTTGATTTTCTTGTGTCTCTTATGGTTGTGTTTGTTTATTCACCACTGTGGTCCAGTTAGCAATACACAGTTTTTGCTTACTAGAAAATTTCATCGGGATTTGCTTACCAAATAGCACAGATTTCAAATCAACCTGTTCCTCTGTTTGACAATTTTAATATGATAGTTTTCATTGGCGTTTTCATATTTGTATGCAAATTGGGCTTTTTTACATTACCATCTCTTTTCATGTGGAACACAGAGGCACACAAAGCAAAGTTATTGCAAGGAAAAATAATTGAAACACACTTCATCTGGATGCATTTTAAAACTGGTCTGTTTACAGACCCAAAGGGTCAGATGAGCATAAGACTAGTCTGCAATGCCCCCTTACCTTTGAGCTAGACTGTACAGGTACATGTAACAGCAGCAATGCTTAAAAACCAGTGGATAAAATGTAGTACTTACCTTTAAGAGCACATGAGTAGCCTTCTTTAAAGGACATGGAGAACATTTGAACTTGAGAGCCCAGTCTGGACGCCAGTAGGCAACAAGAAAAATGAATCCTCCTGTGCAGCACCCCAGTAAGTAATAAATGATGCTCTGGCAGAAATTAAGGTAAAAGTTACATAGTGTACAAACTAAGTTATGACTACACATGGACACTAAAATTTAAGTGATAACCCCCTCTGTCATTAATTGCTACTAATTTTGCAATTCAAAATGTAAATATAAACTTTATTGCAATTCCTTTAAAGGGCTTTTCAGTTGCAGAAATACCTCAATACTAAGTACATGTAGGGGGGGGTATGCATTTAAATTATTGTTAAAATAACAGTAGTTATGAAATCAAATGAGCAAAAAAAATGGTAAAATACAATAAGGTTATAAACTTAATAGGCTAAAAGTTAAAAAGAGGTAAATTATCAAAACTCTCAAGAAGTGAGAAGATTCAATGAGGTTCCTAAGGTGACATCTTGGAATATTTAGTTGACTATGCTGTGTGGTATTTCTGGAATGAGTGCGAGACTGGAAAGGAAACCTCTCAGCCAACTGATTGGGGCAAGTTTGTTAATACACTTAAAAATTATCAATTCTAATAGTCCCATTCAAGTTAAGTCTGTTCCAAACGGTCAACCAGTTTCGGAATTTGAGACTTTTTGAAATGTGGTCAAACTTATTAAGGCCATGTACTATGCAGGCAGCAATGTTTGGCACCACCTGAAGTTTCTTTTTGTTGTATTTTGTAGAGTTTTACCAGATAATTGAATGAGTACTAATAATTATAGTTTATGGAACACAAAATTTTCACAAGGAGAAGTACAAGTATCTTTTTATTATCAAGCAGATTATTAATTTTATTTATCTGTATGAGTTTGTTTCTTTTGCCATGTACTCTAGTGAAAATGTTCAGCAGCATACGCCAAATCTCCGGTAACATCCATAGTAAAAGGCTAAATTCCCTGACGGTGACAGATTCCACTCAACTTGGCTGCCACAGCAACCCCTAAAATTCCTTTCATTCCACGAATTCCACTATCATGAACACAAATGTGGTATTATTTTCAGAATCTATGATGAATTCTATTTCTGAACATTTAAAGTGCTACTGAAACGTAATTTTCATATCCGAGATTTTTGCAATATAATAGAGTTTGAAGCTTATTTGCACACACTGTGTACTTTTTTTGGGCCAACGCATAGCGGAAAGTCCATTTTTAACAATTCGGAGTTGACCGGCTGAGATCAAAATTGGCGGCCATCTTGGCGCGGCCAAAACAGCCCTGTGACGTCACTGGTTGTGTACTTCTGTGAAAGAAGGGTAAAAGCATGGAGTGTGGCTTGCATGTTGGGAAGCCGAAAAAGAGGATTTCGGGCAAAATGCCATCCTCGTCTTCTTCATCGGCGGCCATATCGGCATCTTGGCTATCTGCGAGAGGTTCGCCTGGATAGGGAGCAAAATTCCCGACTGATACNGGAGTGAACACAACCAGTGACGTCATCAATCCATTTCGCTCGGTACCAGAGCCCGGACATGGTTTTGTGTAAAATTTTTGATTTGAACGGTTGAAAAAGATATCTTTCGCCTCATTTTGGCCAAAGCAAATTATCTCATGATGATCACCATATTCAAAACTACAGGTTAGAGCAAAAATTTCAGATACGAAAATTTCGTTTCAGTAACACTTTAAGCTATTTTGGTTTAACTCTTAGACTACTTCAAATGTTGCTTAACATAGAGAAAAAGCCAACTTGGCCTCTGGTACCACCTTAGTGAAGTACATGTACATGTAATTCCAAAATGACTCGACAATACTGGCTCATTCCCAACTTAACTTATTTTATAAGACTGGCAAATTCTTTCACCAACCTACACTTGAAATAACTAATACATGCATTTCAAAACTAAATTGTTATTCTTACCTTGTATATATTGAAGCAATATCCAAAACAACCCTAAAAAATAAATCATGAATGCAAACAAAGGAAATTGTTTACCCAACTGTAATTGGCTGTAACTTCACACTGTAGTCTGCTTGTAAATTTAGAGCTACTTCAACTAAATTGAGACAATTTTGTTCACTTTCTAAATTGACCAAAAAATTACCCAAAATACATGTTTCCAAATCATCCACATACAGTGTAAAGCAAGTTTCATACATATTTATTATCTGAAAGCTACAGTAATCATTCTCTGAAACCTGTGTGTTGTGGAGCATTTTTATGCTCAATATTGACTTCAGTCTGTGTTTATCAAGTAGGCCATTATTTTGCCACTGCTGAAATAGATTAAATGAATGTAGAACCAAATGTATGATGTTGAACTGTGAAAAATAAAGTTAGTTATAAGTGAAGGTATACAAGCCAAGGTTGTTGAACTGGCATGAGTCTCTCTAATACAAGTGGGAAATTCTGCAAAAACCTTACAATATTGCACCCCTCAACACTATCCAAGTTAACTCTTGCAATCACCCTGTAATCACTGATAAAAAGGTGCTTTTGCAGGGCTTTGACCGGTTGATAACACTGGAAAGACCTAAAATTCTACACGAGTACAATATAACTTTCTAACCCTAAGAATAAAATGTGCTCCAAAAGAAAACTTTGTTCAACTACATGGTTTAATTCAGAAGCCTTTTTACGTGTTTGACGGTTATCTTTCCAATGAAACCAAACAGAAGATGCAATTTAAAACAATTACACCTCTCACTAGCAATGGCACCTCTATCATGGAAGGAATCCTCTTTGAGTTCTACAGGATTATGTGAAAACATTGGGTTCTGACCACACCCATTGAAATATCAAATTTCAGTGATAGATCTAGGGGAGGGGCCTGCCTTCCCCCCCCCCCCTCCGTCCTTATTTTGGGTGAAAAAAATTAATGCAGAAGGAAGCTCATGGTCTGGATCTTCCACTGCAATTCCCTTTGAATCTTTTGGAATAACTTTTTTTTCTAAATGATCTACATTCAATGTGAAAACATCATCAAGTTTTGAATAACATTTTGACAGATCTGGTCCATTCTGAATAGACAGGGTCACACTTTTCATACCACTACTGAATTTAAATAACTTCAGCACACCCCAGTCATGTAGATATGCTGCAAATGAATCATTACTGGTATGCATTGTTCAGTGCAGGTTACAACATGGCTGGGCACTGCAAAAACAACGAGGATTATATTAACTAGAACTCGCCATCAAATTCGAGCCACCATGTTACTATAATGTCTCCATAGATTTAAACCATAGAGTTCCAATCACGTCAAGCTTAAGTTTTTCCCGGCCAACAAGACCATTTATTTTTCCTCCACGTGCATCATGAGATATTCTTTGTGGATCACAAATAAAACCTTGTTTTGCGTACAAGCTGTGCATCAATAACGTGATATATGAGCATGTTAAGAATTCAGTCCAATCTCTACATGTACGTTAGCAGACGTTAGATGTTACACATTAACCACCTCACCAATTCTTCTCTATCCTCATCGTCTATGTGGCAGTATTTCACATCAATCTTGTTTTCCATATTTGGTTACCAGATTCGTCCCCCTGAAAATTTTTAGCTGGCGTGTAGAATGAGGTCTGAGGTTTAAAGCTAAATTTCATTTCTGCAGCTTTTCACACTGGTAACATCTTGAGCAAGTGCTTTACTGTTGACTACCTTACCGGTGGCTGGGTAACCACGCCATCGTTCAGTCAGGTTACATCCTGGTCAAACAGGTCAGGCGTCCTTGAATCCACGAAGATCTTGGTGATTTAGTCAACTTTACTTTGCTGTTTTTTTAAGTTCCCACCTGATTTTAAAAAAGGTATTGAACTATTAGTTTCTAACCGTGGCGATTACTGATCGTAGTTGTTGATAGTCCATCTAGAGTTTAAGGAGTGGAAACAAGATGAGAAGTTATTTCCGTAAGTTGCAGCACCATGCACTCATAGGCTTTAGTAGAACGAACTTTGTACTGTTAAACATAATGTAACAAGACGTTCAGTTGGGACTAAAATTATTCTGCGCACATTCTAGATTTGAGCTGATCTTATATCTGTTGTAATGTGTAATGTGGCGTTTCTCACACCGTCTCAGGGGATTATCTGTCACATGATCATGTGACAGACAGTAGCTAGAGTTTTTTGGTACACTAACCATGGCCTTCACTTGGCTTTCTTTACTTGAAGGCAAATGCCTCAGAAAATTGCATTAAGTACAACAATTTTCTATTGTTTCCTACAACCAAGATCAAGATCATCATAATGGCTAGTTAGTGGGAAGGAAAATATCATAAAGCACCAGCCAATTAGAACTCTTGGTAAATACAAGTAACCTGCATTTGGCTCATAAAAACACAACTGATGAAGTTGTTACTGTCTTTGATTTGCTTCTGATTGGTTGAGATTGTGGGATAGGTTTTGTCGACTAATCGCAGAAGAAAATCAATAAACACTCTTTACTTGTGATCCTCCATTGCAAAGTTCCTAAGGAGAATGCAATTCAGCTTGTGATCTTACCTTTTGATCTAGAAAGAATAGAATCATGAGTATGGAGCCAACAGTTCAGAGAATGACTGACCAAGGAGTTTGCATTTTTGTGACTCTTTGCTCAGATTTGATGTCACAAAACTCTTTGGACTCAGAGTAGTCTTATTAAGTGTCCCAAGTGGTGTGTTTAAGTAATGTTTAACGGATATGTGTTGATAACTAAACTCAAGCTTGTTTTTGTCTATTATATTGGTTGGTATCTTTTGTTGAATCAGAATATAAAAATTGTTTTCTTTTTTGTTTGAAACTGTTTACAGGAGGTATTGATTAACTCACTACGTCATTTATTTACTTAGTGTAGCTTGTGTTTTTTACTCAGGATACTACTTTGTGAATAAAACCACTTATACCTGTTCATTTACAGTGGACACTTTTGGCACAGGCCAAGTCAAGAATTAATTGACTTATTAGGTATAATACTTGCATGGATACATCTAGTGATAGTTGTGATAAAACGTCAATTTTATATTTTTGGCTACCAGTGACACGTTGATTCAAATAATATAATTTATGTAAAAGAAGTTAATTGCAACAAACACTTTAGCTTGACTGTGTATTTGAATTAAATGAAACTTGCCCTTTATTGAAAGATAACAATTAATAGAAATTATAATAATTATCATTATTACTGTTAATATTATTGAACCACTGTATATAATAATTTTTGGGCTCAAATATTTTGTTAGAATCATCAAATGGCCACTGATGTCGTCAAGAAGTGATAAGCTAAAGGATGAAATTCTTAATCAGATTGCAGAGCAGATAAAGGGAGTAAGTGTTGGTTACTGATTTGTACATGTTCATGATCACTGGTTTGTTTTTGTAAGGATCTTAAATAATTTATGAAAATCAGAATTTAGCAGTAGTAGTTTTGACATTTAATGTCAAAACTGCTACTGGTAAATTCTGATTTCCGTAAATTTAAGATTTATTGTTATCATCTATGAATTTTTCCAGTAAGCTCTAAATTTGTGATGCTTGCTATGACTCAAATACTAAATTCTAAACAACTGAACCATCAATTATAAACTTTCATACAAACTGTTACCATTTTGGGTCACTGGGGAAAAAACTGAAAATTAACTAATTTCAAAGTGCAAGCATTCGTTATTTGAGTATGACCGAGTACTGAATGCTGGTGCAAAGCAGTAAAGAACAAGAAAACAAAGTACCATTATTACAATGTATGTGTTACTGGAAAACTGCTGTTTATTCTCTGTGTCAAGTGTAAGCCTCAATTTAAGCTGTTCTACTGGGAATCAAAAAGAGTGAACATTTTCCTGTTAAGTACAAATTAGATGAGACAATCCACAAAATGTTTATCAGAAAAAGCATCTCCTTCATTTGCAGAATTTTTTTTAAAGCCAGTGTACTAAAACTTAACTTAATTCAGAATCCTAAAGGTGTCCATTGTGAAGAAGGTTTTATCATTGCTGAGTCAATTGTGAGCACACGGCTTACTGCTCTACTTGGCATTTCATTTGCAATTCATCCTTTATTTCAGGTTCAAATTATAATGAATGCAGATAATTTTATTACTGAACAAAAGCTGTGTCTGTACTCTTTTATTTGTTGTTAATTATAGTTACAGCTCAGACAACAGACAGCTTTAGATGAGGGAAAAAGTGAATTTCAGGTCACTGCAAACAACATTCACCTACAATGTTTGTTGGATCTCCTAGATCACATTCTGCTTCATGGGTAAGCACAATATTTTCAAGGGGGTGACAGTTATACATACTTACATACCTTACTTGTATGAAAATTCGCACAGTAGTAGAATTCGCCCACAATGTAAGTGCGCGAAATTACATACTACACCAAATATAATCTGCGCGAAAAGGTTTTAAATTAAATATTAACTTTATTGACAACTAAAGAATTTAGAATTACACAATGTGCTACGAAATACTATTACATAATATTACAACAGTTAACAGTATCACTGGATACTAAAGAGTTTTTCAGTGAGAATTAGAGGTTGGTGTTTAAAAAAGGCAAGTTATCCATTCTATTTATGCATACACAGATTACCATCAAAAATTAAAAATAAAAAATTACTTCATCATCATCTTCTTCAACCTGAGAATTTCTGTTGGGATTCTTTCTGGTTCCATGTAAGAAGTTTTTGTTTCTTTTGGATAATATCTTTTTTATTTTGTATTTTCTTCACTAATATTGTTAATGTTATCATATGCAATACCATCTGTGTAAATGGAATACAGATAAATCGTTCTTGTCACTGTTGTTGATTTCACCTAACTGAACAAACCATGCGACATTCTTCTGTAGTCAAACAAACAAAAAAAATTGCGTCAAAGTGTGCCAGCAGCAGTCGGTGAAAAACTTGCTTTAGTTTTATGCGAATTCTGTGCTATTCTTTAATTGTGTAATGACAAAAAGGTTAACTGCATCTGTTAACTCTCGTAAAGAAACCAAACAAGAAAAATTTCCTGTGCAAATTTAAAGCTGCACAAATAAGTCCTCTATAAGGTGCACGAAATTAAATCGCGCAAAATTAAAACTGAGCGAAAATGAGTACCATGCGAATTTTAATACAAGTAAGGTACATATGGTACATAAGGTACATAATTAGGTTAATTGACCACTCCCCGTAAGGGATTTTCAGGGCCAACACCCACCCATCCCTCCCCAGGGGAGGACATCCACCACACAGTAATCTCGTGTGTGGGAAATTAACGTCTCCTACCCCTAACCCTGCAGGAGACGYGGCCTATGGTTTATTCATCCTTTTCCGAGAAGACTAGAATATCTATCCATTTCTTGTTGTAGAAAAGTAGCAAATTCTCCTCAATTATTTTAAGACCAGGAGTATTGGTCCAGCTGGGGCTCGAACCCTCAACCTCCCACACAACACAATCTGGCACTCTAACCAATTGAGCTATATTCTACGCGCCAAATTTATTCATCTTGCTCTAAGTTGATGCAAATCATTATTAAGTGTCATTCGTGAAGATCAATAAATGCTTTCCATTCTTTCACCCTATTCACAACTGTAGAGGTAGATAACCTAAAATGCTTTGAGTGAAAAAGTTATTGACAGAGACTTTACAATTCAACTGCAATTGTATCATGCTAATCTTTGTACAAAGCTAACCTTTGTGCTCATAAGGACATGTTGAGATTCAATTTAGCTGGTTTTGGATTTTGGAGTTGAGACAAAATGGTATTTTTAAAGAAGAACTAGGGGTGAAAAGCGTCATGAAAGTACTTTTAACTGACAGAGAGCCAACGGTCAGTCAACTGTCCACTGACAGGTTTTTTAAGCGAGTTCTTCATAATTACCTAAATTTTGTTGGCTCAAAAACAGTTTGTATTAACTTGTCAATTCTTTTAACAAACATGGTTCTAGTTGTCAAGGATGAAACAGCAAAGAAATGACAGAAAGGGAACCAAACAAATGTTTTGAGTTAGGGGGAGGCTAAGGTTTGAGTCATATAGGCTTAAACAGTAAAGTAAATGAGCATTTTCATATATGATGGAAATCCAGCAAGAAGCATACTTTTCTTCCTAGAGACCAAAACTGGCCTCTCATTCAAACTAAAATTAGATGTGTTATGCTTTGATTCTTGGCATGCTTTTTTTTTGGGAGGGGGGAGAGGAGGAAGGGGCAGGTTGTAATTAGCATAAGCAGTCCAGTGGATAAGCAGCACCTTTTTTTCCCAACATGTTTGTATGAAATCAGGGGTGTGGCCTCTCTTTGAGAACTTCTAGAAAATGTGTTGAAAATTTGCACAAAATAACACTATTCATAAAGTCTGTATGGCAACCTAACAAGTACTTCGGTCCATAAAAAATAACAGGGTACACATGAATTATTAGTTTTGCAAGGCCTTCAATCCTTACTCTCCAATTCTTAATATTTTGTCTCATTTGTCAATAATTAGGTTGGAGAAAACTGAATTTGGTTACTGGCCATTTGTAAAAGAGCTTACCCACTCAGAAACAGTAAGACAAATTGTCAGCCACCCTCAAGTAACTACTGATTTAGACAAAGGTGTGTATTTGGAGTTTGACCTTTGCTCTGGCTTTTGAGAATTCTTTACTTCTGTCAATAACTATGTGAATTGAGGTTGAAAAGAAGGGTCTCTGCTTATCTTGTTGTTATGCTTTGGATTTTATGTGAAGTTGTGAAAATTATTGTTAACTAACTGGTTACATCCTAGCAATATCCAACTACTCTAAGTAGAGTATAAATAATGCAGTAATCGAGTCCAAGTATCCTGCAAAATTGCACAGTTGGTTATTTTGTACTGTAAAGAAACCTGATTGAGTGGTGGACTGCCAGCACTACTACTCTATCTGCTTTGCTTTTCCTGTTTGTTAAGGAATACACATGAAATAGGTCAGGGGCTAGTTGTATAAAGGGCAGATAACGCTATCCAAAGCATAAATTGTTATCCAGTGGATAACTGATTGCAAAACATACTGCGCTATTTACTGGATACTTTACTTTTAGGTAGTATTTAGTGTCCCCAGTTAGTGGTTGTATAACTGCTATTTTAGATTTGACACATAAATAAAGGTTGTTGTTGTTGTTGTTGGATAGAGAATTATTGAGTGAATAATAGGTATTTTATAACACATTTTGGTGTGTAGTATCTGGAGTAGTTTTTCTCTCTGTTTGCATTTTGACTCACCCTGTGGGGATCGTCAAGCTACTGTATAACTGGTAAAAATACTCAGGGATACTACACAGCAAAACATCTAATAAGATATATTTACTTGTAGCAAAATAACAAAATCTGTCAAAATTTCACTTTGAAGGGCTGTTTTTTCAGATGGTGTAATTAAATTGTACCTTACGGTGTGTAAAGAGACTTTGATGGTGTAATTAAATTGTACCTTACGGTGTATAAAGAGACTTTGACAAAAATGAAACTACAGCATATATGAAACCTGTGCTTAACCTTTTCCATGGGCAAAAATTATATTGACTAACAGAAAACTGCATTTAGCTGGACTATCATTTAAAATGATGATAATCCAATTTACATTTCCTGCCTCAGTCTGCATTTATTTTATGATTCAGTTTTATGAAACATGATGCACATAAAATTATGTGCAAACTTGTGGCTATGTGTTTTTTTTCTAAGTTATTTGTCTGAGTCATTTACTAGTTTTTTAGCTTTAATTTATTATTGAGTCACTCTCCTTTTTCTGTTTGTTACATGTAAGCCAACTTTTTAGGATACAAGCTGCAATAAGTTCAAATCTGGAGCATTTTTTCCCTCCTTTGCTTGTTAGGTCGAGTGTGGATTTTTGCGGCATTTGGTGATGGCCTTTTGGAGAGCTTTATCAGATTATTTTTAGATAGTCAAAAGTTTGCCAAAAGATTTTACACAAAGTGAGTAGGTACATGTAGTAATCTCAAATCTGATCGTACTATTTAAAAATTGAAAGTGGTTGAGTAATAATATGCAAAATTGTCCTTAATCTAACATACTCCCTAACTAACATGGAATTTATCTGTGTGTTGTTCTTACATCCACAAACTGGATCTCAGATAAGTTAACAAGCTCCCTTACCATTTTTTTTTTGCTTTGTTTTGTTTAGAAAAGCATTTTTGAGAGATAAGGAGGTAGGTTTGCCTCTCTAACTCTTGTTTTCTCATTGTAAAATAACAGTAAGATTACCTATTTTAAGTGTATTATTTAGTATTTATCATATTATTAAGTTTTCCTCTGAAATTCCAGTGTTGTAGGATAACAATGAAATGCTCTTTTTGAAAAGAGTTTTCCACAATGACTCATTTCTATTTGCTTTGAAGCTGTTTTCAATGTATTTGTATTTTTGTTACTCTGCTATTTAATATAGCAATACTAAAATCTCACAATATTCTTGGAGGGTACCTTTTGTAAGAGATTTAAGCAACATACTGTATGAATGAAACTTTGTGAAGTATTTACAAACACAATACAGAACAGTATAAAAAAGAGAACTGTGTGTTGGAAAAATGGGCTAAATTGTTTAATTGTCACTGACAATATTAGTGTTTTGATACTAGACTTTTTTTAATAGTTATTTAGCACTATAAAGTCTATTATTTTAGTTTCTTGAAGGTTGAACTGAATATTTGTAAACACTATTTCCTTCACTCTTACCAACACTTTTCAACCAAATTGGGCAGAATTTACAAAATCTACACTGCAAAATAATTATTAGGAACCTGTAGAACCTGACTATAGGACTTGCAGTTTCTCATAGGGGTGTTTATTTCAGTTGCAGTAACTTGTTGTCCACCTCTCTGAACTATTTTGTATCATGGTAGTAAGACTAAATTGTTGACACTTTCATTCTTCTACAGAGACTTGCTTTATTGCAGACTTTAGTCTCAGGTCTTGATTATATCTCAATTGTCTTGGACCAAGTAAGTTAAGCAAACTTGTTACCTTCATTTTAAAATTTGATGGAGGGTAACATCAAAATGATAACATTCAATATAATTGCTTTTTCTTGGTACTTGGAAATTTTATTTGCATTAGAATGCCTACCACTCATCCTTGAAATTTGCATGTTAGGAAGCATTGAATTTAATCAAATTCATGTGGTAAGAAATGTAATTGTATTATTAATAGACATTTCAATAAGAGATTATGAAAACATGCCTTAAGTACAAGGTATCATAAAATGGAAATAGGAGTTGCTAGAAGCAAAACAGCCAGTGTTAACTCAGTGTGGAATTACAAGTAAAGAAATGATTCTCAAGATGAGCTGCAACTCAGGTGCAATACTGTTATTGTAGAAAAGACACCTAAAAAAGTTTAGGCTTCAGTGGAATTCAACCCTTTGCCTCCCAGATATTACTTAGTGCCTGAGAGCACACAATCGAATTCCAGCAAAGACTGAACTTTCTCAGCCCTCTTTCCTGTAATTTCTTTTATTGCAGCTGACCTGTGAGGACTGTTTCTTTACTTGTAAATCACCTGCAGGTCAATTTAAGTTTCATTTCATTTAATTTTGAGACAAAAACATTTCACATTGAATAAATTTGTTGAAGCCTAAGTTTTTGTAACACATGATTTGTATTTGTTGTTTGTGTAGAACTATGATTTATTGAAAGCTACATGCACTAAAGCACCAAATTAAAAAGGAGTTAAGATGCAAAGAATGTCTGTCAATTTTTACACTGAAAACATGTAGTATATGACTTCCTAGACTTTGATGTTTTATTCTCCTTGTAAGGAATCTCCTTATCTTGGTTATGGAGCTCAGCATTGTGAAGGTAATGATATATACATATATATATATATATATAATTATAGTAATAAATTGTGGTACACTAAGCAGAAGTAAGGGTGATGGTGAAAGTGATGGTGATGACAATGATGGTGATAGTAATCACAATAATGATAAAAATCACAATAATGATAAAGAGAGCTAGGATAATGTTATAAAGCTTGGAATGGATTTTTTTGTATTAGGCACACCATTTTTTTGTATGGGTCACCCACATATCTGAAGAGGCCGAAAATTTTCTGGAAACATTCAGAAAATTTTAAAAGACGTCTTTGAAGAGTTTCAACAGAACTTCCTTTCCAGTGCTCTCCCTTTTGAAGGCAGAGATGAGGAGAAAGTACAATATTTGGCTAATTATACTTAATATAAATTATTTGTGAGAAACAAGTCAGTCAAGGCTTTTGTAGTGTATGCTTTTTGTTGGATGTGATCAGAAACTGCAATTTGTTGGCAGTCATGATAATTTTGATACAAGTATAAATATCATGTGATGTTATGTCATATGGCACCATATAATTTTGGCTTTTTTTCAATGTCCTGAATTAGATTGTTCAGTTTTCAAGTAATTTTAACTTCACTGATCACTTGTTTCCTAGTGGATGGCAAGTGTCAGAAGACATTTATAACAACAGGTGAAAATGCTGAAGGAGTTGACTTCAGCTCAGGCATCAAAAGGGATGACGACAATAGCACAGTTAGTAGCAGGTTATCAAGCTCATCTACAATAGCTGCACCACTAAGTCCTCAAAGTTATCCTTCTTGTGGGGTTCATGAAACCAATGGAGAAGAAAATGAGAACACATCTGAGCAAAAAGTACATGTCCTACAGACTGATCAGCATGAGAGTCAGTTCTGTGACCAGTCTGACACCAAAGGTTATGAACAAGAAACTACTTCAAGGCTCCACCATAATAGAAACTTTCAAATACAGCAGTTCACAGAAAGTGGGGAAGTGGGGTTTGAACCAATAAAGAACAGAAACGGAAAGCAAATTACAAGAAGAAAGGACCAAGTGGTAGATGCAAAACATAACAAAGAAAAAAATGACCTCGAAATTCAGCATGTTCCTTATAAGAAAGAAAAAAATGACCTCGAAATTCAGCATGTTCCATATGGTCATAACCTTTCACATAAATTGCCACCAGATGATGTGCCCACTATAGGTTGTGATGATGCTGTTGAGAAACCATCCTATATAGGTAAGTCATAGACATTACTTTTTCATAGATAAACTGCACTGGTAAGGACATGTAATTCAAGTACAGTAAGCAAAAGATCACAACTTAAAAGCTTAGGTAACAAAATTATCCTTCTCTTGTAATTGATTTCAGACTTGCTGCCCATGTCAAGATCTCAGAGTTCACAAGATAGCCACTCAAGTTGTAGCCCAACTAACAGTATCCAATCAACAGATTCCATGGATCAGTTTTGTAGAGACTTCGACTCTAGTTTAAATGTTACCAGTGCAATGTCCCTAAACAGTGCAACTCTTCAGTTGTGTGATAATACTGCTGGTGCATGGCCAGAGTCTTATGATACAGAAAAAAATTCAATTCAAGGAGTTTTGAGGGATGATGGTCCTCTGCAAACTGCAGCAGCACTGGAAACTGATCAAGGATTATCAAATGCTGATAAGTCACCTAGTTATGAAGGTTAGGAAAGTTACAAAAGTTGTATACTGATATCCGTATTTACTCATGTATACATCAACCTCTTAACTGACTAGTGGTCCTAGGTTTCCTCTGCAAATCTTCGTATAACACATGTACATAGAGGACTTCAATTCATCCAAATTCATTGATAAAAAACAATATGGGGATATTAAAATATACAGTTGTACTGTGCAGTCTTGTTTTGGCTAATTTAGCATGTAGTTTAGGACTGTTTATAAAATGGCTGCTTTCACTGACTAATCAGTGCTACCACTCTATATCATTTCCCGGTTCAAATTGAGAAAAATTGTACAGGAGGGCCTTTTATTTGCTTGAGGCCTGTGGTGGTAAAGCAAATTTCTATCAGCTCTGCAAAAATGGTTGGGATAGTTATAAATTATTGTACAATATACATGTATGCACTGTAGGTGCAGTAAATATCTTTGTGCTGGTTGATTCTTTTAATGAATTTTTCTGTGAATAACATAATTCTTCTGCTATGGCTTAGGGATAATATTAGGCATTCCAAAACGACCCTCACTGCACCAGACTCCGACAACTTCTTGGGATGTCAGGTATGCTTGATGGTGTGTAAGTAAAATTAATCTGTAATGGGCATGGTTGATGTTACAGCACAAGAAAAAGAGGAGATCCGTAGCCTACCACATGAAAAATTAACTCTGTAGGTTTAACTTAGTAATGCACTCTTGTCAGCCACCTAGAATCCAGATTTGTGTAGCAAATGTTTACTCTGGGTTTGAAAATGAATGAATTTATAATGATTTAATTAAAAATATATTATTACTTTACTTAAATTATTGTTTGTGTTATGGCTAATGTGGGTGCAGTGTAATGTTTGAGTGGCTTTGCTGAAGAAAACCAATGTGTGTGTAGGGTGGATCAGAATAAGATGCTGCTGTTGTCTTTGGAAGTCTTTGAGAAGAACAGTGAGCACTTTCACAGGGTGAGAATTTGTCCATGGATATATTTATTAGTTTTATCTTTACCATTCATAGAATCTTCCTAACTTCCTTACTTAGTTTTTGTAAAAGGAAATCCTCATAAAGGTTAATTATTCAGTTTGTAACATTAACAACAAACCCATCCTTCCTGGTCAGGACTACATTGAGACTTAAATAAATTTGGTTGCTTCATAATAGATGCTGGTGTGTATGTGTGGACTCCCTGGTAGCCAGTTGTATTTTGGTAACTTCCTTCTCACGGATCATGCGGTTTATCTTCTGAGCAATGGTATTAGTTACAAAACAATGTGGGTTTGGTGAATGAATAATGTTATAATGGTATAATTTGCTGAAGTTGCATGTACTAGTGAAAACAAACTTAAGATAAGAGTGTTGATTATTCATGCATACAATGTATGACTGAAAGTAACAAATAAACATAAATCAGAACAGTTCAGATAACTCTTGAGTGTAGTATTGTTGATATTGCTATAAAAAAGGTGACCAGAAGGAGCAAAGATAGGCTTGCTGGGTATGAGGTGTTGGTGTCTCAATTCACTTTAAAAGTTGTTGTCACAGATCATATAGTCTACTCTGCCCTTTGCCTAATTTGAAAGCTTTCTTGTCCTTTTCCAGGCTCTGCCATTCTGCTATGTATTCCAGATACAGCCCTTCCTACCCATTGTTTTTTTTCAATTTATCAGCTGATTTACTTGAAGTCTGTTCTCTTTGTATTCTTCCTTCTAGCTGACTAGTCCAGTTGCGTTTTTTCTTTGGAAAGTATTAACTACAGCCAGAAACATTTAATCCAGATGTATTTTAGGTTCTGTGCTTCTGGTGTTGCTGGAAATATCTTAGAATTTTTACATCAGGTAATTTTTTATATTCAGCACCGTCCCATGATGGAAAGGGCTTTCAAGTTCAATCAGCATTACCATTTACAATTTTGAAGAAAGTGGAGGTACTCTTAAATCACAATCTATACCATTTTTATGTATTTATTTTCTTACAATAAAGAAATTGTTATTATGAGACAGTCAAAATGGCACTGAAATCTTGATTGACTAAATCGTGATTGCGTGCCTTGTGCATGTGATAAAGGATGGTTTGAGGGATGGTTTTTAGTTACGCCTATCAATTTATATCATCTTTCTGTTTAGGAATAATTGTGCATCCTTTCATTATAACTTTCAGGTTGGTTTAAACTGTCAAACAGTTACACTGGTATCCAAATCTCAAAAAATTATTTTATTTATAGCAGATGAGGCTGTTACAAGGTAGGTTCGGAAGAAGCTTTTTACCCACCATTTTTATGCAATACTGGCACGAAATTTTGAACAATCTTTAAATGATGATAAAAAAAAAAGTCACGAAAAAATGCAACAATGCTTGCGCTTTCAAAGTATCCAAAACACAACAGAAAACTTGAAGTACTGTAAAGAAAATTAATGTTAATAGTTTTCTCTGGTGAAACCATCACATGCCACTCAGGGTTTAAAATTGGTGGTTGATTGTTTTCCGAAAATTAGCCTAACGGAGTTGTCAGGGCAAGCAATCTGACCACCTCCAGCGTTATTTATTCTCTCCGTGTGCCGCCTTTCTAAAGGAAGAACCTAAAGTCTCCCGGTCCCCAAATTTTAGTAGGAATTTGGAGCAAAAAGTATTTGGATTTTAGGTCACAGAAAATAACGCGCCTCTTCATTTAAGATGAACGAGTTTACGCTTACAAAAGTTAGAGCAAATTTATTAAATTTACATTAATTTCGTGTAGCGTTAACTTCACAAAGCATTAGTTTCCTCTGATAAGAACTATTGCTATGCAAAGCGATGATACAGCTGTTGTCTTTTTTGGATAGGGATTTTCTCTCATCACTGACCAGTATGATACTCAAATCAGGCCACGGATCGCTGCTCAAAAAGATTATCTCTACTTCCACTTTTGAGCAAGAAGCTTCAATAAAGAAGTGGATCTGTGAACTTGAAAACCTCCAGGTAAAAGTTAGAATGAATCTTCTTTTATTCCAGCAGAATCAGCAGTGGATATAAGTTATTAAATGTACATGCATAGAGTGGTGCCTAGGGATCATTTACGCAACTGTACAGTAATCAGTGTAGTCTACTAAACCTTACTGGTATTTCATAATTTCATCAGTTTGAGCATAGTTCAGTATTTAAGGAGGACAAGCAAGAAATATGTGACTGTAGTGGCTTATTCCTGGATAGACTAGAGATTATAGTTGGCAGATTTACGAGGCTCTTTACAGTTTAAACTCAGGGTACAAACCCGGCTATGCTGCACGGAGGTAAATGGTTGTAGATCAATCGTATCAGTCTTGCAAAACAATTGTGACTGATCAGTATAAAAACCATGGATTACAATAATCTTGATTGTGAATTTTGATGTGGAATAGTTTGGGGATGAATTTATACAGTAATTCTTTTAGTATCTGGAAGATAAGATTTCTACCAGAGAAAGCAGCTCAGTGTGTTGCATTTCTTTCATTTTCTACGCTTTGAGTTTCCGTTTGTCAATTAGTGGTAACTATTACTTATGGAGACATAAGTTCCATAGGTAAAAGAAATGTGGTCCAGTTTTTATCGCACGTTCAAATGAGATAGCCTTTCATGGCCCATACTCTGTATCACTGTTGTCGTTGCAGTCTTCCAGTGTGGACATCAGATGTTTTACTTTTATTCACTGGTGTGGACTAACCGGACCGGATTCCAGCATTGAAGTTCTCAGTCACAAAAGTATGTGAATTGTTTATTAGAACTATAGATCGATAACTAAACGGCAACACTTTTTATATTTAAAGAATTGCAATTCCCATTCATGCTGTGATTGCTTGCAGTGGATTTAGAGAAAGGCTGTTTATATCTACCCAAGTGCAATCAATGAAGTGAGGCCGTAATAGAGAAGGCCCGCCATTGAATACTAAGACTCTTCGAATTGTTAATTTTTCTTTCTTCTTCCAGTTTATTTTAACCTAAGTTTAGAGGCATATCAACTCTAAAATTGATACTTACATGTAACTAGTCGTAACCTCGAAATTTGAAAAGCCGTATTTCAAGTCTGCAAAATAAGCTTTTATGTTGTTTTTCGCTTCGCTTTTATCACACGATAACTTAGTCAGTTGCGTTCAAGATTTAGAAAGATGTTTAGATTGACGACCACGCTACTCGACCTCATTATCTCAACAAAATCTCCACAACACGTCGCCTTCTAAAGTTGTGCTCTTTCTTCTTGTCAACAACCACAATCATGTCTTTGCCACAGTCAAAATTAAGTCTACCAGGTTCCAGCCAAGATATAAACTTCTCAGAAGGTTTGATAATTTTGACAGAAACCAATTCATTCAGAACATTAAAATCCAACCTTTCGCTGTTGAAATTGGGATTTCTGACCAGAATAAAAACCTTAAAAACGAAACGCCTACTTGTAAGTGACGGATTTCTTCGATAGTCACGCCCTCTGAAGATTATCCGGATACCAGCGTCCTAGCTTCGCGGCTCGGTAAAATATTGACTGGATGGGAACACGATCCTCAGAATTTATATTCTGAAGGGCGGAAGAGACAATCAACCATCACTGTGCTACTGGCTGTCCGAGACAATACAGCCGAAGCTTTAAAGCGATCTAATTATCGGCCAAAACAACGCAAGCAGTACAAACGCAGGACAAAGCTCTACAAAGACAAAAATTGCCAATGGTCACGAATGGTCGGGTGGTTTGGGGAGCTAGCAACATGGTTCATTTTAACGACCTGAAAAAGTTCACTCTAGGGCGGGACACACAGTGTATTGACTGTCACTGCTCATTTTGGGACAGTCTGTGAAGGATATATGCTACAGGCTCAGCAGAATTTTCCTAGAACTTTGGTAGGGGTTTTAATGCCATTGAATTCAGTGATTCATATTCGGAGAGGAACTCCAACCGCAAAAAGGGAGGAAACAGAGTAACTGTAACCCCAAGATTTAAGAGGAACTTTCTCAGGAACCCGATCCAATACGGATTAGCTAAAGCATTAAAGAGAATCAGTGGTAAACAATTTAGTTTGACACATTTAACCGTCTGCTCATCAAAGTCAACACTAACGACAAAATCTTTGATCCCATTGGAGCCGTAACTAAACACAATGACAACCGCTGTAGATATTTTTACGATTTTAACTTGTTGCAAATGGTTTTCATAGTTTGTAAATATCGTTTTTATTTCACCTCATTGGAATTCACAATCGCGATGGTGATTACGATCTTACCATCTCTGCTGACTATTTTATCGTTGTTAAGTAAAGTCACTCATTTATTTATTTATTCATTCATTGTTTCAATTTTTATCTTCGTATATTTGTTTCATCTTCAATTATGTAAGGGTTAACATATTTTTTCAGGTGTTAAGGAAGGTTACATGGACTGTAAGCAGGCTCAGTATTTAAGATCGTACAAATGGACCACCAGCTATTTTGTTTTAATGTAAGTATGCATTCGTAAGAACATGTAATGCAATTTGAAATGTTTAAATTAACTTGAAATCGTATATTTTGTAATTCCTGTAGGAATGGATCCCTGTATCAATATGCGAAGAAGGTAAGGTCATCTAATCAGCTGAGTTTTCTCATATGGTAAATGCCCAGAAGCTAGTAAGTATTTGCATGTGAAAGCGGTTTTTAGGCCAACACAAAAAATCTGAACTTAGGTTCTTGTTAGTTGTTTTGTTGTGATGGAAAGGAAAATGGTAATGAGTGAATCAAGAATCACACGATCTCTGCCAAAGCTAGTTATCAGGTACACAATAGTAATACTCTCTCGTTAATGGACACTAATTTGTGGGACATTTTCTTGCAATAACTACATAGATACAACGGGGTTTATTGATCATTTAGGACTCTGTTGTCTAAGAGTAGCCTTCGAAGCAAGCCCTGGGGGAAAGGAGGGGGATTGGGGGGAGCGGAATGTGCGGAGGGGAAAGGGAGGGCTTG